GATTTCACAACTTTTAACACAGGGGAGCTTGAATCTCTAGCATTTTTCTCATAACATTAGAAAATACAGATTTTTATCAGAATTCCAGTAAGTTCATTTTAATAATGTCTATTATATCATTCATATTGGAAACTGTCATGGTGATGGATGGCTTAATAAGTATAAATAAGATAATGAAATTATTATCTTATAACTGGAATTGGGTCTTTGAATGTAAGACAGAGTCTAACCCAAGCATCACTGAGAGGACTTGGGCAGAGTCCTCTAAAGGAAAGCCTCTGAGATGTTCCTGGGGCAATGGACTTGAGTGGCAACCTTTAAAAAAAAGCTGTATAGGAAACCAGAATTCAAAACTAACCAATCTGGGACACTTAAAAAAAAAATTTCTCCTTAGACTACACAAGAGTTAGAAAAGCATAAAAATAGACATTAGCTAATAAACCAAAAGCTAAAAGAAAATTCTGCTACCACATGTAAAGCATCTCTATTATTGGTATTTCATTTCTCTGGGCTTCTTGGATCACATTTATCCCATGCATGGTTCCCTGATTAGGAGCAGCCCTAGGCAAAACAGCAAAGTGAGCAAAACCCATTTCCCTTTTACATCTCTTTCCTCTTCTGATTGCCAACCACCTAGGTTCTCCTGCAAGCCAGATGTACTGCTATAGAACATTGAGTCTAAAATGCCAGAGACATCTTATGCAACAGTTCTGGAGGTGAGGTGTACTGACGTTGCAGAAGAGAACTTGCAGGAGACAGTGACGTGTGAGCACAAACAGTTTGTCTCTCGTGGTTAGATTTCAAGCACCACTTTGATACCTAGGCAGGGACGTCAGCCTTATGTTTATTAAGGTGACTGATTATATACCTGCACAAGATAAATACTCTTTTTCCTAAGCTTGGGTCAACAAGTGAAAAAGAGAGGGAAGGAGAGCAAAGGAAGTGACTGGAGGTGACCACCTGCAAGAATTACCATGCAAGTTTCAGGCGTTCTCATTGACCCCAATCTGCTGACTGGAAACCCTTCCCTTGAGCATTCAGAAAACGTTAGGGACTCTTGCTTCTTCTGACTCCAGGGGAAAGCAGTGTAGTGTAGTGGTTAAGGGGTGCACTGTGGTCAGACCGACTGGGTTTGAAGCCTACTCCACCATAAGCAGATTGTTTAGCACCTCCATTCCTCAGATGCCTTAGCTGGTAACATGGGGATGACGCTCTATAGGGTAGCTGTAAGAAATGAACGAGTTCATTCATGTGGAATATTCAGACAGTAGTAAGAACAGTGACAGCTTGACAAATATTGGATGTCACCATCTGTGGAGTTGCAAGTGTCTTTCTTCCACTTTGCCACATAACCAAAAAAGAGACATTTCTGATCCTTGTGAGGGTGTTGAATGGAGGAAGAAAAGTCTGTGAGAAAGAGATTAAAGAATTACAGAAAGAGGAAAGCGAAGGAACACTTCTGACAATAGCTTCTATTTTCAAAAGCAGAAAAGCCCAAATAGCAGCAAGAGAGCAGGAGGCAGTTATTTATGTGGGCTGTAAAGATGAAGGCTCTGACTGAAAAGGGTATTCAAGTCGGAAACAACTGCAGTGGGAGTGGAGCAGGATGCCTGGCAGACATGGTTGTGCCTGAGGAAGCCAATAAGCAAGGTGCCTTGAAAACTTCTACATGCTCCATATCAGTATTTCGGTGGAAATATTTTTGGATGTGTGCATAACACATTAACATAACAGAAATGTGCAGAGCTTTGGAAAACTTGAGATTTTAGCAGGAAAGTATTCTATCTTTACTGTGACAGAAGAACAAGGTCATGTTGAAACTGACCCCTATAATTGGATGTCACCATTCTTCTTCTTTCTATATTTGAAAATACTTATACAGATCAATATTGTGACCACTGTAGCTTGATAGCTTGGATTTAGGAACAGAGCAGAGATTCTAATGCAGGGAACTTGATTTTGAAAGTATTCATGACCAAGTCACTTAATACTTTGATAGCCAGACCTGGGCAAAAATCAAATAAAATGTGTAACAGGATGAAACTATAAATAAAAGCAAGAACTAACTCATTTAGGAGTGCTCTTGGTTTGGAAATGCAAATTACCTTTTAAAATAGTGTATGGGCCAACTGTTCATCCAAGAAATGGGAGAAAAAATATTCTGCAGAAAAGTTCCCAGGAGGGATATATGAGTCTTTTTAGTAAATATGCCTAATGATTCTTTTAACCTCACGGCATAAATCACAACAAACTTGAGTTATGCAGTAGCTTTTTGAGATGGCATAATAAAATTCCTATTAAAATTAGCAGAGTGTGTATAGCATGCTGTGATAACACATAGGTTAAGGGCCTATATTTATGCTTCAAAACAAAAGATTTTTTTGTTTTCCATTTAAAAATTAAGTGTTATATTCCTCATTTTATTCAGGACAAATAGTTGAGGATTTACTTAATCCCAAGATTCCACTGGTCAATAATCTCAGCAGAACATTTTTGTAGTTAACTCCCTTTATCTTCCTGAATAATGAAAAGGAAACGGCAACTTGGGAGTTAAGTAACAGTAACTAGAATCTATGTGAGGCTTTGTAGTTTCACAATACTGCATACAGCCAGTGTCATTGTCCCCCTGCTCTACAGGTGAGGACAAGGCAGCAGAACATGGTCGCATCATTCAGTAAGCTAGTTCAGGGCTTCTGAGCCCCTTGCCAGGCTTCTGAGCACCTTGTGTCCTCTACAACAAATTCTCAAGAACTTGGATTTCTGCATTTCTGACAGAGTAGGTTATTTTTATGTTGAGATTCCCTGTGGGGCTTTCATGTTGCCGCTGGCTACAGAAAAAAAATTTAACTGAGCAGAGATTGGAAGAAGAGGAGAGAGTGTCCTGAGGACCTTCCTGAAAGAATCCATTGCTGGGAAGGACACTGACCACCGTGGAGACTGTGAGGGACAATCACAGCCACCCTGAGCCTTCACTCATTCTCCTCCCCGGCCTCGGGGCTTAGAGCTCCCAGCAGCTCCAGCTAGACAGAGGTGATTTCCAGGGTATCCAGTTTTGTTCACAGTATGAGTTTCCGTCAGAGCACATGTTATTCCTGCGAGGGGAAGGAGAGGGAAGGTGACTTGAGAAATGAGTACAACAAAAGATAGCATATGTTTAATTTGTGGATAAGTAAGTGTTCCAATAACATTATTTTCAATTCAAGTAATAATTGCACAGTTGGCCAAGTTGGGAGAAACAGATGGATGGCTATTTTCATTTTTCTAAATATCTTCTTAAGAGTTAAGACGTGTTTCTAGCAAGAGTTCTGTAAAGTAAGATTCTATTCCCCTGCTCTTTAAGTGAAGCATTGCTTTTCTGTGTATGTGTGTGAGAGAAGAGGAAGTTGTCTATTTCTTCTAAAATGCCTTAATGAATAGGAAAAGATATTGTCTGGTTACAAAATACAGCAACATTTGCTTTGGGATTATCTGGGGATTTTTGTACTTTTCTTCCTCTGCCTTATCTCTCTTCGCTTTACACACTTCACACTTACACAAACTGTGTCATTCACTGTAATGATAAAGCAAGTACTGAGTGTTTAGCTTTCATTCTTGTCCTTAGATGTTAAAACTGACAGCTTAGCACCTCTCTTACTCTTTACGGGTGAGTCATTACCCTTGTGAACACGCAAGATAAGAAAGTCTCACACTTGCCAGAGGGAGAAAAAAAACAGGAAAACTGAAGAGAGCACTCTGGCTGGGTTATACTAACCACAGCATGGATGGTAGGAGGCGCTGAGAATGGATGGACTTGCCATTCACCACCACAAAGTTATAAATGAGAAACTGTCTGGTGTGACTTAGGTGACTTATAATACACAGTCAGTTTTCAACTACCCACTTAGCAGCGTAAACCTCTGAGTAGAGAAATCCCACACTTCATCTCATTTTAATTCAAATGTTAAAAGACCTCCATTCAAAATGAATCTACCTCACACTCAATCCTTAAGATTAGTTAAAACCCAGATGTCACTACAGTATGTGTGTGTGTGTGTGTGTGTGTGTGTACACAGAAACTACATTATGAGAGTATCAGGAAATTCAGTGGCACATTAGGGCTGTTTCTGGGTCACTGTTATTCATTGATAAATTTGGAGAGATTAAAAAGAATTTTATGTTCCCCTTCCTCCTCTATTACAGACTATCTTTCTTGGCATTCTGCCTTCACTCCTACTATCTACATATGACAAAAGCAGCTGCACAGGGCTGTGAGGGACCTCAGAAACATTCAGTCCTTGCTTGCTCAGGAGATACCCTGGTGGAAGTTTTCTGTGCTCCATGAAGGGTTTCAGAAGTCTGTGAAAGTAGCACACAGATTTAATGTTCCCATATAGGACCAGTTCCTTTTTCTATTGACTGCATGGTTCAAAATACACTGAGAGGGAGAACAGCCATATTTAACGTGTGCTACATCCTTTCCATGTCAACATACTTTGCTCTGTCAACAACCCTGTGAAGTTTCAAGTCAGCATAAGCCACACCCATAAAACATCCTCTGCTAATTGATTCCCAATGATGATTACTTTAATGTGGAACAAGAATTTAAAGACGCTTGCAAAGCAATCTGTGTGAAGAAATCTCCTAGATGCATTTCTCCCCCGTTTTTACAGTGGCCTTGCCCATATTTAATCTGACAGTACTGTGGTTTAGTGACTACCTTTCAAGAATCTTTCCCAAGCTTCAAATTCATTATCATAAAAATGAAGTTACTTTCTGGTTGCACTCATATTTGGTTTACACAATATTTAATTTAACTGTGTAAGTATAGCTATAAACAAGTCTGGAACTACTGTGGTTCAACATCTGACTGGTAGGTGCAAACATGCAAAGGGTGTATTATTGAAGGGCTGGTAGCCTCTAGATTTCAGATAGTCCTGGGCATTAGTCAATAAACCTCACAGAGGTAACAGACAGGGACAGCTAATCCAATGAACTGATAAATGAAAATCATGTAAGAGAGTGTTTATTGTGTACCCAATTTACACAAAAATACTCAGATGGAGAAACTGAGATACTAAAAATCAGACTAAATTAAGTAACATCACATATCTGCTAAAACATCAAAGGATATACAGGATGCATGGTTGTGTGGAAATTCTAAGCACTATCTAGGAAGTAGTAGAGTGAAAATGGCCAATTAACATTGCAGGGAATACTGGATGTGCTGGGAGTGCATTGGAGGGATAGTTAAAACAGGACTAAAGGAAGCCTTTGCCCAAATAAGGATACTTAAGCTGCAGTGCAAATCAACCAGGTGGAGGTGGTGGGGGGCAGAGAGTGATCTGGACAGAGGGACCAGCAGTTGAAGGAGGGCCAAGGGCAAGGAGCCCAGCATGGGAAGAGAATTGTCAGTAGTTCCTAGAAGAAAAGGGAGATGATTAAATAAAATGACTTAGAGAGGTAAATACCGGAACAGAGGTCAAACACACACAATAAAGCCTGCATATTCACACTGAAGAATTTAAACTTTCCCCTGAGGACAAAAGGAATGAGGCACTTAAGTGACAGGCTCGGATTTGAGTTTTTGGGATACACTCATCTGCTTTGTGGAGAAAGGACTGGTATGCCAGATCAGAAAGAGGCCGTGGCAGTCCAAGCATGAGATGCTGGTGGTCTGAGTTTGCATAGCGTCTAGGGAGATAGAGAGGTGCTAGTCAATCAAGACTTGCTAATTGATTGAACATAGAGCTGCTGGTGAAAATGAGGAAATGGTAAGGTGAATCAGGCTTATGGGGCAGCCATCATCTGGTCTTACGGAGGTGTCATTCCTTGAGATACTGAGCTCAGGAGGATAAGGAGTAAGGTGCCACAATGGTGAGATTTAATTCTAGATATGCTACATTTGAACATCCAGTCTGATTTAACCTGTGGTGGTTCAATATATGAGTCTAGAGTTTAGAAGAAAGATCTGGGCTAGATATGGATATGGGTATAAATAGAATTCACAGAAGATGAAATACTATAAGGAGAGTGGGGAACAGGAAGAGAAATAAGCCAAACCTCCCCTAAATGGTAGCCAATTTCTGACTATCATGGCCACACAGGTGATGTGTCCACCAACAAGCCCCTCTCATGTCACCAAGTTTATACACAATGGCATGTGTATAATGGCATATCTCTTCTTTTTAAAAACTCTAATGCACTAGCCTGATTTTCCTTATACAATATAGCTTGGGAGACTGAGCTGGAAAACACACAGCATGAGTGTGGTATGCCTTGACCACTCCCAAGTAGGCAAAATGCTCATTCAAAACTGAGGTGCCATTGTTATATTTCCTAATTGTACATCATCAAAAAAGGTGGTGGAGTTGATGGGAATGGCAACTGGAAAAAAGAAGATGAGATATCTCAAGTGATGTTCTCCACCTTTAAATTCTTTTCTCTCCCCTGTGAACGGATTGCTTACAAGGTGATTTGCTACAGTGCAAATCAGTGGGCCTTAGCCTTCCAGTCTCAACTTCAGCAGCCATTTCCACTCAGTGATGAGCAGTTCAAGCAGCCTCAACCCAGTTTTTGCCACAAACATGTTAGTTACTTTCTCTGGATCTATATCCTCACCCACAGGTGGAGGATGGTCCCAGATGATCTCTGAGGTCTCCATCAGTCCAACATCCTGTGATCCCATTCACCTGCAAGAGTCAGTCAGGCACAGACTTCACTGGGAAGCCCTGTAGGCCTGAATCTGCCCCCCACCCCCAACCACTCCCCGCTCCTGTTGAGGAGGCAGGCAAGTGTTTGCCTGATAGCATCTCTTCAGGGATTTGTCATCACTCAAAGCCCAGGTGGACCGTGGTGCCTGTATTAGTTTTGTCTTCCAAGGTCCTAGTTTTCATTTTGCTTTAAAATATTGCTGTGGCTCCTTTTATGATTCCTAGCTAGTGCTTGCAGTCTGTGACTGCCATCGCAATTGATTAGGTCATTTCCCCCCAGCTCTATTCAGTGTACGAGGCTGGCTATTTGTAACTCAATATACCATTTCCAGTACTGCAACTTTTACATTTTATTACTATTTTTATTTTTTGAGCTGACGTATGGAAAAAAACACTGACCAGCGTTAATGTTAAGAGAACCATATTTTCATTGAGGTCCTTATTTCATCTGTGGATGGTAGGATAATTTATATATATATTTTTTTTATTTAGAATTGAAAGGTTTCCTGACGGAGCGAACTTTACTCCCCTTAAGATCCCCAAAATACGTCCAGCTCCAAGAGCTGGCCTAATCGGCTCACATGTTAACTCACTCTCTCTTTCTTTTCAGCTCCTCTGATTCGTTTCCCAGGACGTAGTGAAGACTTCTGGCCCTAGGGACTGGAAAACGCAACTGGACCTTCTACAATCTCGGCTCCACTCTCTCCCGCGCTCGCACGGGGGCTGGAACCCGGCTGCGGTCACGTGGGCGCTGCGCCAGCCTTCCGGCCAATGGCCGCGCGTCGGCCCCGCACGCCCCGCCTCCCGCCTCGGCCGCGCCGGGACCTCGCGCAGCGCCGCGGGGAGGGCGCGAAAGTTTCTGCTGCGGGCTGCGTCGGGCTCCGCAAGCCGCTGCGCGTGCTGGCCGCTCTGCTGCGCACTGTGTCTCCCTTCGCTGCTCCAGGGCGGCGGGGGTTAGAAGAAAGGCGCTTACCCGAGCGCGCGAGAGGAGTGCGCGGGCGGCCGCTCTGGGCTGAAGTTCGTGCCGGGCCGAGCGCGCGCCGGCCACCGAGCCTAAGGCCGCAGGACCGCGATGGGCGCGCCGAGGCTCCGCGCGCCCGTCGCGGCGCTGGGGCTGCTGCTGTGTGCGGCACTGGGGCGCACGGGCCGGGCCGAGGGCGGCGGCCACGGGGCTCGGGGGCAGCCTCCCGGGGGCGCCGCCGAGCGCCTGTGCCCCGCTCCCTGCCGCTGCCTCGGCGGCCTCCTGGACTGTAGTCGCCAGAGGCTGGCGCGCCTGCCGGAGCCGCTCCCGCCCTGGGTCGCTCGGCTGTGAGTATTCTCCGGGCGCTGGGTGCGCAGCGCTGTATCCGGGGCCGCTCCCCTGGCCCACGCCTCGAGCGGAGCTCGGGGTGGACGGAAAGGAGAGGACTGGGCCTCAGTCTCCCTCCCGCGGTGCCTCGCGGGCCGCCCAGGTGGGCCTTTGGCGAGCCTGCCGGGCCGCAGGTGGGCGAGGGGAGCAGCCGCTGACAGCTCCTGCGGGCGGAGGCAGAGTTGTGCGCCTCGAGCTCGCCCCCGGGTTCAAACGCGCGCCCCTGCCCGGCCAGGGTGGGAGAAGTGGCCACCTGCGTGTTACCGGAGTCTGCATTTCTCCCGAGTGTATATGATCCTGGGGCTCAACTCTAGCTGCGACCTGGTTCAGGCCCTTTTCCAATTCCCCACCAGTAACTGAACGCGCACCTTTCCCTTGGGAAGCCCCCTCCACACAGATCGGCCACTGTTCAGTATGTAGCAGACACTCCTCTGTTCTTCCTCCTGCGCTTAATTTCTCACTAGGAAACTCCATAAATCCCCTTCCTCCACCAAATTGTAACCCATCCTCGTTCCGTTAAGAAGTTGGTAAGACTTAGCAGTAGATGAGGAAGGGAAAAACTATAGTTTTCAGTACCATAGTCGTGATTTCTGTGGCCTCTCAGCAAGTCCGGATAGTTGAGGAGAGAGCGGCTGGGTGCTGTTACGTAAGTTTTTGGATGTTAGCTGTGAAGTCTGAAAACCTGAAATCACTGCCAACTGCGTGGAAGAACAAGGAAGAAAATCTAGTTCAGTTGGAAAGGCTGATTCTTTCTAAATGTCATCTGTAATTCTCTCTCAGCCCTAGTTTTCCTAAAATTGGAGACTCGTGAAAATGTAAACAATCAAAACTGTGTTTCTTTTTTTTTTTTTAAATTATGTTTAAAAGAAAGAAAGGGCGGTCCATCCTCAATCTTTAGATTTGGGCCTACTAGAATTGCAATAGAAATGCTAAGTTCTTAAAACAATTCTGTAGTCTATATCCTAACGTCCTAATAATACTAGTAGGAAGTTTGGTCAAGATAGTTTAAGGAATTGTGTTTGTAAGTCATTGTGCTCATCAGAATCTTTATTTGTGAATTGTAGAATTGTTGACCACCAAAAGCATATTTGTGTTAATAAACCTTAGTTTAATAAAAAGTAGAATTCAGTTGATATTTAATCTCTTATAATGGGAAGTCTTATGTAGTGGTTTTTATTACAATTGAAGGAGATAAGGGCTTTAAGCTAAAGCAGGAAGACTTTCAATTAGTTGTGGCTAATTCTGTTCAGTTGCCTCTTGTGGAGGTCACGCTGCCTTATTCATGAAATGTGAATGGCTCTATTGACAACATATGGAAACGGACACTTGAATAATTGGAGGTGAACACCTATGAATAATAGAGGGATGAGAAAGAAAATTAATATAGTGCTTCCTGGGGTATGTTTAGAAATGCTTGGATCATTCACCAAGTTTAATTTACATTCAGTAGTTTCTCAATGTCAAGTGGCCTATTGGATCTTGCCAGTGTACAGTATATTTTTTGTGTGTGAATTTGGATGTTTAAAAAAAGTACTACTTTTAATTAGAAATAGAGTTAAACCAAGAGGGGTTTGATACCTATTTAAACGTTGTCTTAAAAGAAGCTGACCTAATTAGGATTTTGTTTTGTAGATAATTTGGTGGCACACTAAAAACAAATTACAGTTTATTTGGTTAGCACAATCTTCAATTACATTTCCGCCAGCAGTAAATTGTCTCAGTAGAAGTCCACATTCCTTAAATGTATGTGAAAATAAGTTCCACTTGTATAAATAAGCACTAGGTCTGTTGTCAGAAGCCCCACTGTGATCACTCATTGGACTCCTCTGTCATTCTTGTACTTGTGTGACTTTTAACCAACTTTGTAGTTGTCACCAAACCATGTGTTCTAAATTCTTTATTGTAAATGTTTCTTTTGTGCCTAAAGCTCTAGAGGGCTCCTCTCTCTGCCTTTGAAAGGAGCAGAAAAACACATGGAATTGGGAATTGAGCTGTAACTTCTGTTACTTGGAGTTTGGAATAGGAGGCATAAGCTAGCTGCTACTTAAATTTTACATAATTAGAAAAACTTTAGAGTAGACTGTTGCACAGTTTAGAAATAAGTGGAAAAATGCATATCGTTCTTCCCCCTATGTTCCTTTTCTTTAGATAATAAAGATAGCAGAAATTTGCTTTAGGACTAGTTTAGGAAAGCACTGTTCAAAGTTTGCTGTCTATCTTTTGTTGAATTTGCAAATTTAAAAAAAAAACCTTCCTATACCTGTGTATGTATTTTTTCCACTTCATTCAGTTGTTATTTATTGACATAGAAATTCCATGTGTGAAAAGTTCAATAGTTTGAGCCCTGAAATAATGCTGTAGCTCTCTTTGCAAAAAGAAAGTTCTAATACTCTAATAAAAGTGGCTCTTGAAACAGTAACTATTTGGAGCATTGCTTACAACTGCCTTTAAGGGCAAACTTACATTTTCATCCAGAGTGTGTACTTACACAGTTCTGAACCTAAAGAGTAGTGCTTGTTAGAATGTGTTACTTAGTCACAAAAGGCGAAGGTTGCTCAATTGCCAAGGAGAGCTTCAAGTATTATTAAAATCTCACTGGAATCTCAGAATTATTTCTTATCGCATGGAAGTGTTTGAGTTAGCTGGGCTCAGGCTAAAGTCTGAAGGGTACTTTCTGCAGGTGTGGCCTTTTTAGCGTTAGCCTGTTATAAATCCTTTTCTCGGTACCAGAATTGGGTTTGGGGTAGGGGTAATGGTCCTTATGGTTTTCACAGCTGTTTTTCTATATTTTCCAGACTAAAACTTGAACATAGCAGGCTGATTTATGAGTCATTTTGGATCAGTGTCTTAAAACAGCTACAGCCTGGCTTTTTGTTTTTCAGCTTTCCAGATTTTTGCTGAATTAGCAGCTCTGCAGGCCCCAGTGGGATTGATTAAGGAGCTTTGCTGGATTTGCATTTTAAAATTTGAGTTGGAAGTCAGATTTTCATATGCTGAAAGGAAGAAAATGATAGCTGGAACCAAGTGTTGTAAATTAATTATTTACATAGATGTTTATTCACTCGCTAATATACAGTAAGAAAGACTTCCTTCTACCATGTAGTTTGATTTTCAAGTATTTGGCCAGCAGAGTTCTGGGTAAATAGTTAACACCGCCCTACCTCACCACCTTCCCGTTTATGAACCTCACTGCAGAACCTTTAGAAAGGTTTCTTGGGGAGAATATTCATTAATGGAACTCTAAAAATAAAGATTCTGTGTTTATTGAATGCTCTTCTGGGTTTAAGAAAACATCGAAATTGTATAATTTGAATTTGTTTTTAATGGTCCAGCCATAAAAGCAATATAAGGAAAATTTAAGAAAATGTGACATCCTTTAACTGGAAAGTAATTATTCCTGAAACAAACTGCTTTAAATCTAAATTTAGGTTCATTAAAATTTCATGACTTTTAAGTATTTAGTAGTAAAAGGCAGCTAGGTGATTTTTTTTTTCTCCCACGCATAATGTGGTTTTAATTGTACACAAAGCTCAGGAATGGAAGTGTGTTGCAATAACTGAAAATTTTAAGGTTGCTAGCTCCTGCTTCTGAATTAGAAATGAGTAGACCCCAGCATGTGCACTGTCCTCTGAAGGCCGTTTCTCAGTTTAAAGGTCTTTTGTTGGAGATCTCATCCCATCATTAGTTGAAAAAAAAAAGTTCACCACCCAATCTCTCCTTTCTCACAGGTTTGTCCTGTGGAATAATCCTTGAAATGAAGTGACGTGTGGGTTTAGTTTTTCTAATTAAAAGGAAAACCACCTGTGTTAAATGTAAATGCCAGATTGGTTCCCCCTTTCCTTTTAAAACTTGAAACAATGGGGAATGCAGTTTTATACTGGTTCAATGTTCTTTAGTTAAGCGAGTCCAAATGAAACTTTCTGTAGATTCAGACTACCTCCCAGGTGAAGGACACTTTTCCTTGGTTGTTTTTTTTAAACCCTGTGGGAAATCTCGGACTGTCTGTGGTGCTAAAAGTACACAGGTTTTGTTTGAATCCTAGCATGAGTTGTTCGGCTCACGGTTTCCTTGATGAACTCCAGATGGACGTGAGCTGGGCTGTGAGGGAAAGTGTCTGGCTCCAGCGTGGTGAGCATGCACAGCAGTGGTTGTAATTGCAGGATTTTTATAGTTTAAAGACTGTGCCAGATTTTTTTTCATGTTATAACTCTACCAGAACAAATCTACTCATGTCTGTTACTGTCTGGTAGGTCTTTAGGCAAACATGTTTCAAATAAAACCTTCGCAGATTTTTTTAGGTGAAATAGAGGAATCCAGGTTTACTCTCAAAACAAAAATGGAAAGACTGAAAGGCTCTCTGATTTCTAATTGTTAACCAATAGGTGTTCACTAAGTAACACTGTGCTTCTCTGGATATGGTTTTTCTGTCCTTTATTTTTTGGTGTATGCTTTTCTCCAATTAAGTTTGAGTATCTAAAACTTTGGTTATTTAAAAATCTTCATTTTTAACACTGAAAAAATTGATTTAGTAAGGGTTGGTAAACCTCTTTCAGTGGGAGAGCTATAAGCCATACTGTTTGCCAGCCTGACTTTCAGTAGCTGTCCAGGCATTTCATTTTCATTGTACCATGTGAAGGTACATATTCAGTGCCTTGACATATAAAGGGAATATAACCAAATATTTGCCAGATTTTGTTTCATATTTTGAACTTTAAATGCTGAGATGATGTCGTAGGCTAGAATATTGCATATGCCAGAGTTTTGTTTTGCTTTTTTAAGAAATGATGTCCTGTGGAAATTGTTTCTAAGTAAATTGAGTCTTCTAAGATTTATTTTAATGGTTGAGAAGAAATCTGGTCACAGGTCTCTGTAGTCTACTTTTTAGGTGGTTGATGCAGTTTAAAGTATACATTATATTATCAGCTACTGAGATTTGAGAAAATTGGGTTTAGGTTATTTTCTACACTCTCAACACATGTGCACACATACACAGATACCTGGGGCTTTAGTAATTTGGTACCTTAACCAAGAGAAACAAATATGTGTGAAAATCAGTATGTTTTGTTTAACTGTCATAAGGACATTGATGCTTAATTTTATGCTAATAAATAGGTTTCTTTAGAGGTTTGCATTTCAGCAACCTGCCTAATTAGCCGCTTTTCACAAGCCATGACTTCATTGTATCAAGTTGGAAGTGAGATGGTAAGAGATGGGGAGGGTGAAGCAAAACAACCAGTTCACAAAAGATCTGTTCACCCTGTGCCAAAAATATCTCCTAAAACTTTTCTGGTCTTATTTGAAACTGCCAGCCTCCTTAACTAATTTTGTCCTCAGAATTTGTGTTTTTGAGTTTGTCATTTTGGTTGCCATCTAATTTATGGATATGGTAGACCGATTATTTCTTCTGTTGTCACTAACATTGATAGAGATACTTCATAAATCCACTCTGTCTTGCACATCATTAAGCACTACTGGGTGTTTGAAACTGCTTATTTTATTTTTGTTTTATCATAGGGACTTAAGTCACAACAGATTGTCTTTCATCAAGGCAAGTTCCATGAGCCACCTTCAGAGCCTTCGAGAAGTGTGAGTCTTTGTTGTTTTCTGTTCGAGGTTTGAGTAAAATACAGTACCCATCATACTGTTTAACTAAAGAACATTTGGATAACAGTAAATCACTTAAAACTTTTAACTTGGGAGGTGTCTTTAAATTATTTTATGAAGCTTCACCTTTATGAATTACATAATTCCTAATAAGCTGTTTTTTCTTCTTTTTTGGGCATTTGTAGGAAACTGAACAACAATGAATTGGAAACCATCCCAAATCTAGGGCCAGTCTCGACAAATATTTCACTTCTTTCCTTGTAAGTAAATGTATGTTTTCAGGAACCATGGGTAGCAGTTTCATATGGGCTACAGATCATACAAGCAAAATAAGAAGACTTCCTTCAGTGGTTAATTGAGAAGTGTTCTTTAAATTCGTTGATTTGTCTTCCAGCCTTTCTCTCTTTCCCTCCTTAATTTTAAGTATGGTCATAACAACACACCTTACACTTCACACTCATTGCTGAAAAGGTCTCCAAGATTCAGAAAAGCTGACTTCACCCCACAGAGATGTGTATTTGATTATGTTCTAAAGGCTAGGACTTTAATTCTAGTACTACTCAATGGTTGACGGGATCTACGAATTAGGTATTACATGGTCCCTAGTGGAGAATGATCAAAGTTTAGTGAGGAGAAATGGGAGTTGGTAAGAAGACATTGGAATACCCTCTCTTAAGTGTTAGATTGAAGTTAAAAATACCACTGCATGTTATTTTGCAAATAAGAATTTTCAAATAAAATTGTGTTAAGTTTTCTGTATTGGACAGACAACATGTTTATATTTATGCAATGGAGATGTGGAATAATTTTGACTTTCAGCATTTAAGGTAACAAAAGGTGCATTGCTTAATTTCTAAAATTGAGTAGTTTACCACCTTAATCTTGAACAATTAAAGAATATATTTAAGCCACTGAAGTTAAAGATGTTTTCCTCCTTTAAACAATAAAAAAAACCACCGTTATTAGTTGCTTCTGGGAAAGGTGTTGGGTGAGTTGAAATTATACAGTAAATTTCAGGAAAGCTGTTCAATTAATTAAAGTGATCACTATCCAATTGCTTACATCTGGTGATTTATAGAGGAGGTTGGTTTTTACTGAGGGCCCAGGTCAGCTAAGTCACGGGTGTAGCCTCTGTGTCTGCTTTCCTCTGTTTGAATAAGACTAAGTGACATTTGATACTGATGTGGTTTTTCCAAAGATCAGAAACAGAAAGGAATGAAAGAAAAAGCAGTTGGTATTTGACAAATAAACTCTGAATTTAAACAACATTTTAATGCTAGCATTAATACCTGTTTTCTTAGTTTTTCACAGTTGCTTACAATTCTGGAGTCTAAATGAAGTGCTGATTTTAGTATCTTAAACATATCTAGCTGGGCTCATTTGACCAGTGAGGCCCTTTGAAATCCCAGGGAATGCTTTGTGCTGCTACCCTTTCCCTGTGTGTTGGCAGATGATGTCAGCATGTTCAGGAGTGTTTTGAGGGTCATTGCATGCTTCATGGCTCAGAGATCTGCAGTGGAGTTTTGGGATCTGGGTGAGGTGGGGAAAGTACTTTTCCCTATGATATGATGTAGAGTTGAAAGCGTAAGAAATTGTAAGGAAAGCAGAAACAAATAATTTACTGATTTTATATTTTAAAATTATAATTTGTAATTAGAAAACTGAAATGAAATCTGAAAAGTAAGAAACCTTTGAAATTTGAACTCTTCTCTGTATTTTTGTGTTTCACTTTAGTGAATGCTAAATAATCTACACTGAATTTGAATAATCTCACTTGCTTGCCTCTTAATTTGTTACAGTGCTTATATAAACCAGGGATTGCTTCATTCATCTTACATAATGATAGATCATATTTATTACCTAGATTATATAAAATCTGCAAAGAATAATTCATGTGAAGGACCTGCTAGTTCAATATGGATAGTGAAAAATTGTTTTTATGCCTATGAAATATATTAAATGTTTACTTCTGTGGCTTTCTTCTGCAAACGTGTTTTCTCCTGTAGGCTTCTTTGGGTATTACAATATACAACCATTGCTTGTAAAGCACTCTTAATTTCTGTCTTGTGTAGGGTAGAGCATTTCTTTTTGTATAGAAGCACTTGAAAATAATCAGAAATAAAAATCACTAATTAAACATATTTCTGAAATTCCAAAAGAAATTATTAACCACACTATATGGCTCAGATTAGAAACAGTTAAGTCATGTATTTTTCAAAGCATTTCTCAGGACTATCTGACTTTTATTCTATCAAGCTTTTTTCTTTTTTTAAATTTGGTAGATGAGAACATTTTTCTGGGTAATTAGCACAAGTTAAGTAATTTGAAAACATAAGAAAGAAAAGGAAAAGTCAGCAGATGTCTTTGGCATAAGATTTAACATCAGTATTCATACTGTTGCTTCTCTGTGCAGTGGGGATTCCCCCCACACACACCCGCCAGAGAGGCTGAATGTGGAGAAGATTGTACCTGGTAAGGCCTTCTTCTTTTCTCAGCTGCAGGAGACAGGAGCTAGTATTGGGTCAAAATGTGCCCTACATACAGAGATGAATTCACTTAGGGACCAGGTCTGATAAAGCTTGGGAAGCCTGGTAAAATGCCAGAATCCTGGATTGATGGTTGGATGAGCATTGAACTTACCCATTAGCAATGCTCATCTCTGACCTTTTCTGGGACCTTAATGTAAAAGACCTGGATAGACCTGCTTACATTTGAATGCCACACAACACTAGCTCAGAAGTCAGCTAGCATGGTAGGGGCAAGACAAAGTTTTCGTTTTTTATTTTCTCAATTTCCTAGACACAGCAAGATAGCATATTTTAAGGGAAGAAGTAGAGTAATCTTTGGAATGAACATACCTTGTAGAAGAACTGTTGACCTGGTGTAAGTAAGCTGACTTTACCAGATGTGGTGGCTCTGGCTCCTTGTGATATGGCATAAGCTCCTCCAGCATTGGACATTTGTGAATCCTGGGACCTGAGTCAGGGCAGTTAAGTCCTTGTTAGACAACATTATTGTTGAACAAAAGAGGTGTTATTGGTCTTGAATAGAGCTAGTGTGTCTTAATCATGACACTGATGGTTTATATGGTGTTGCCCAGTGTGCAGATATTTGCTCAGTGTTTCAGAGTTGAAAAGGAATAGGTCAGAGAATGTCAAAGGGGTACCTAGATTACTTTTTAGAAGTGTACATTTTCCTGATTCTATCCATGGAGATTTTTCAGTTAATGGGTTTGAGTGGGGCCTAGGAATATCCATTTGGACACATCTGCCTTGCTGATTCTGATCAAATCCTGCATAAACATTTTTGGAATTACTGATTGAGTCCAGTTTCCCATAATCAAATAAGCCTTTTTTCATATTTCTTATTTCCAACATAGAGCATGTCTCCCAAGTCTATCATTTTCTTCATTACCTGTCATTTTCCTAGAGAGTGGTTATCATAAATTCTGATCACTTGTTGGTGGGACCCCCAAGCGTGTGCTCTTCCAATAGATAGCCATTGAAGAGATTTAAAGCAGAGTATAGTGATTAGTTCTGCAATTCGAAGGTGGCACTCTGGTGTTAGGATGGAGATTGGACCAGAGGTGGCAGGAGGGTGGTGTGGTGGGACAGGTGACAAGGAAACCCCTACACAGGCCAGGAGCGGCCATGGAGCTGCCCTTCTGTGGGGCAGCTCTGGCCATGCAAGGAGATTGAAAGCAAAGCTCAAGTCAGATGGCTTGGAATTGCTGGCTCTTTCCTTTGCTTGGTTTGTACCTTTTCCAGGTCTCACTGTCTGTATTTCTTCATCTGTATGAGAATAGCAGTGATTGCCCACAATTGCTCTCATAGGGTTGTTGTGAGGTTTGGACAGACGATACAGGTAAAACTACGTGGCATATGCAGAGTGCTCATTGGAAGAGCAGTGACCCTGATGATGATCATTCATTCAGCTAAAATTTACTGAACAAACAGTGCCAGGCTCTGTCTTAAGTGCTGTGCACACAACAGTGAACAAGGCAGACAAACTCCCTCCTACCATGAAACTTCCATTCTAGGGAGGTATGAGAAAAAAATAAATAAATGAATTTTAAAAGAAAAGTTAGCTTCAGTTTCTTGCTAATTGCTGAGAAGGAAATGAAAAGGAGGACAAAAGGGTAGAGCCCTGGCAGTTCCCTTTACAGAGCCTGCCAGGCACAGGACACTGTTCTAAGGTTGAGAGTCAACAGTGAACAAATCTCTGCCCTCATGGAGCTGACCTCCTCACAGGGGAAAGATAAAAATGAAATAAAGAAATGTGGTCAGAAGGTGATAGGTGCTCAGGAGAAAAACAAAGCAGAGGAGAGACATATAGGGGTGTGTGTGATAGAAGAGCCAGTTCACGAAGCGGGGGTCACTGGGAGGGTGATGATCAGGGCGTGATAGAGGGAGCCTCAGGGGTGTCTCCCTGCAGTGTCCTAGGGGTGAGGTTATCTCCTTAAGTCTCCCCTACCCTGTCCAGACCCATCTTGCCTTGTATATCCAGTTGTTTCATAGTAAGGAAGTGATTTTGTTTATATTTTTCTCTCCTACTGTACTTTGAGGCCTGTGTGGCTGACTCCTAATTTCCCTGGCACTAAATGCAGGTGCATGGCATGTAGTTGGTGCTTAATTAGTATATGAATTGAATTAAGGAATATTGATGGAACAGCCACATGCACTTAGCATTATTCATACAGGTCTCCTGAAAACCATCTATACCAGTGGCTAAAAATTTACAGCAAAGACAAAGCATACCCATGTGTCACTTAATTTGGTGTATGCGTGGTAAAACCAATAAAATAAGTTATCACCATGGCAATAATAATTAAACAAAAGAAAACAGAACAAGAGGAGTCACTTGAGCAGTGAAAGGGTTCAGCTCCCTACTCTCGCCATAAGCACATGCCCTGGAGTGAGTGTGAAGTGAAAGTGTGCGGGAAATAAAGCCTCCTCTCCTGTTTGCCTTTCTCAGTTTGAATATCTGGGCCCACCAAGGATGACTTTAATCTTCACAGATACATATTTTTATAGTCTTTCTGCCCAACATACCTGTGAACTACTTCATCAAGTCCTGAACTAAAACTTCAAAATACAAACTAAGAGCAAAACACAAAATTGATCTGTTCCAGCACTGAAGGCAAACTCACCCTATGGGACTTACTGAGAGAGAGAAAAAGTCTGCATGAAAATACTTGGCTGGTGTCTTAAGGGACCTTCAAGGATATACCAGTGGTAGATGGTTCTCCCCCAGGTCCGGC